AGTGCTGAAATTTTCTGAGCATGATCCGCAACTGAGTCTGAAGAGGTTAATCGAAAGCTCAAAAGCAACTGCATTTTGCGAATTTCACCATCTTTCTTTCAACAAACTGTCCGCCACCAGGTTTGCATTTTTTGACGAAAAGCCGGCCAGCATTTCTCTTCATGCACAATTTGCGGTAATAAAGCATGCTGAAGGTTAAGATTTCGCGCGGTTCCATGACGCAACATCACTGCCCCATCAGACATCTCCTCCTGCACGCAAGAAAATCAAAATACAGTTAGCATGAGTGCGCTTGTTAAACTATAAAGCAATAACTATAACTGTAAGTGCGCTTGTTTGATGCAGCGTAAAGGCCTCACATCTTTGCACAAAAACGCAAACAATATGGAATGCGGGAATGCAAAACAATAAGGAATGTAAAACCCAAACAACAAAAACACAAACTGAGTGCTTCCCGTTTAGCACAAAAAAGCGTGATCTGCTACAAACCCTGGTGCGCACCTGTTAGCCCAGACTTCACTCGTTTTATTTTCTGACTGACAATATTATGTTGTTGTTGATTAGGACAAGGAGTGCGTAGGTCAATGGCGCCCCGTGCTCCGTCTTGGCACTGCCTAGTTCGCTGTCACATACGTTGCGATGAGTTGTACGATGTAGAACTGAAGTGAGAGACTGAACAACAGTTGATCAAATAAGTTTATATATAAATACTGTCACTTCAGTGCGAAAAATTGTGCTGTACAGGAATTTATCAAGCATATGCATGGGTGGGGATGCATTGGATAATTGCTAGCTTCAGTACCCGTTTCATTTTTTCAAGAATAATAATAAGAGGGATGTTTGCAACGGCTATTAAATCAGTACAGTGTGCTCGTTTTCGCTGGATTCCCTTCTTCCAGCCATTACACCCAGTCCCCTCTGGCTCTTGGCCACAGCTTCTTACTCCTTTTTCAACTTTCACCTTCGCCCTCATCTTTTTTGTCCTGAAATTTTGTTTGAATTACTTCTGCTGTCTTGACAGTGCTTTTGTTTTTTTTTTCCTGCAAATGACGCACTTAGAACTTTTTTTTGCTGAAATACCGGCATAGCCGAGGACTGTTTCAAGCGGGCCCCTTCGACAAATAAAAAAATGACTATTAGCGGTTTTTGAAGAAACAGTAATGAATACTTTTTCAAACGATTGGGCAGCTTTTAAAAGCAAAACCGGTCAGTACTATCACTGTTTATGTTCCTCCCCTTTTCCCTCCCCTCCGCTTGGCTCCAGTCCCACTCCTATGCCAGTTGAAGTTCAAAATCTCGCTCGTCTTCCACTTATTCTAAAAGGCATTTATGAATGTTGTTGTACGGAAAGATTATTAATGCTTCTGCAGTAGATTGCTAGACGATAAGCTAAAGGTAATGCACTGGTGTGCTCGGCATCGTATCAGCAAAAACCGCAGACAAGTTGATAAATTGCTGAGGGACCGGTTCTTTCATTGAGAGTTTCGAATCTACTCTTCAAGCCCAACAGATAAAGTACTTGCACTCCATACTTATTATGACTATCAAATTTCTAGTTCCAAATAAATGACTATTCAAGTCAGTTCCCCTGAAGTATGGGAAACCGCTCCCATCGTCCATTACGCCAGTAGCCAAGAGTATTTATTTCAGAGAGAAACATTTGTTGAAGTGGATGCGTTATTCAGTCAACACTTAATTGCCAAAATTATCAACATCACTCGAAAGGCAATGGGTGCGCAGCGACGTTACTGTTGTTACTGGGAATAGCCAAGTGTCAAGAGCAACTGTGTAAAGTGCGCGATCTCGAAGTTATACGTCTTCAGTTAGTACCTACTGTTGACAGTATGTGTGTTTCCATTTCAAAAGGCGTATGTCCGGTAGTTTGGCTTCCGCCACAAAAAAGTAGTGTGTTGTGTGTTTTTTAAATTAACAGCAACTGTTGCATTTTGCCGATAGCTTAAGACGGCTACAATATCCAGCAAACAAGTGATGCTTGTTTAATTTGATGCTTGTTTGAACAACGACCTGCGCAACATATTTTCCTGTACAAAAACTCATATTTTCAGTAAAAAAGGTGGAAACAAAAATACGTACCGTATCAGCCTCTTTCTCCTCCTTCTTTTCCCCCTCCTCCTTCTTTTCCTCCTCTTTTTTCTCCTTTTCCGACTTCTTTTCCTCCCCTTCCTTCTTCTCCCCTTCCTTCTTCTCCTCCTTTTTCTCCTCTTCTTTCTTCTCCTCTTTCTTTTCCTTTTCCGAAGCCTTCTTCTCCTCCTTTTTCTCCTCCCCCTCCTTCTTTTCTTCCTTTTTCTCCCCTTCCTTCTTCTCCTCTTTTTTCTCCTTTTCCGACTTCTTTTCCTTTTCCGATTTCTTTTCCTTTTCCGACTTCTTTTCCTTTTCAGATTTCTTTTCCTTTTCTTTTTCCGACTTCTTTTCCTCTTTTTTCTCCCCGCCCTCCTTCTTTTCCTCCTTCTTCTCCTCTCCCTCCTTCTTCTCCTCTTTCGCCTCGGCCCCCTTTTGCTCACTTTGCTGCGTCTGAAATTTAAAAAAAGAAAATTATCGTTGTATGAATATAACAGATCTACCATCTAGATTAACGACTAGTGCATCTGTCGCCTCAGGTTCTCAAAGTATTATCATGAGAGAATTGTTCAGAAGGAACCCTCTGGACAAACGCACTTCTACTCCTGATATTACTGAGACGCGTCAAACGCAGTTATATCAGTTCATTGTTTTTCGGGATGCTTGCATTTTTCCGCAGTGAAATTACATCTCTTCATTGCCAATTGGATGGACACGTTTTGTTTTGCTCACATTGATTTACCGCGTTTGCTGGTTGTCAAACTGCTTTACAAATTTCGCATATCTCAGAGATTAAGGTAGAGTTGATCAAGAGAGAGGAGAGAAGAATTTTGACGTTTTCCTGAAACCTCCCACTTCCTTTCAGAAGCAAAGCTTCTCTTATTTTGTCTCTCAGGCCAATATTATCAACAGTGCTACGTTCGGCACCCCTTCTGAAGTAGTCACAGCAAGCTTCAAAAGAGTTAAGTCATTTTTTCGGTAAACTCAGAGCCTAGTTTTATGATTCTCTGCTCGTACTGAAACTAACTTTTTCCAAAAAAAAAAAAAAAAATTAGCAAAACGAGGCCTTAGCTTTCCGTTAGCAATTTCAGAATTCCAAAAGCTTTTGAAAATTGTAAGCATCGATTTGTGAAATATTATTACGGAGCCTTCGAGTTTCCTAATCTCACAACCTAAGAAACACGAGGCTGCGATTTTGATAAAATTTTTTGCAAACTTCAACCATGGTGCTATTCGGTGAATGTTTAACATAAGTTTTGCGGCTAATGTCGTATAAGGTAAAAGGCCGTGCGTTCTAACCTTTGCAATTTCCTTCTTCGAACCATCCTTTTTCTCTTCTTTCTTGGACCCTTCCTTCTTGGACCCCTCCTTCTTTGAACCCTCCTTTTTGGACCCTTCCTTCTTAGACCCCTCTTTCTTGGACCCCTCCTTCTTGGACCCCTCCTTCTCTTTCGAGCCTTCCTTCTTTGAACTTTCCTTCTCCTTTGAGCCTTCTTTTTTCGGCTCCTCCTTCTTCGACCCTTCCTTCTTTGAGCCTTCTTTCTTCTTTTCTTCGCCCTATAAAAGTCCTTTTTTACTTAACGAAATTTGAAAACTGATTGTTCAGATCTGAGCATTGGGAAAAATATCTTACTTCCTTAGCAGTTTCCTCTTTCTTGGGTTCCTTATCCTCTTTCCCCGATTTTGCCGATTGCGTCTTCTGCTCATCCAGTGGAGGAAGCACGGCCGGAGCCGGTGGTGGTGGTACTGCTGCTGGTGGCGCGCCAGGTGGAGCAGGTGGTTTGGTATCTCTAAATTACGTCCATTAGTTAAGATTAATAATTTTAATTAGCTTTTGTCGTTACATCTATGCAGCTTATGGCTACATTCCTCCTGTAGCATCCAGCTCTCATATCAGTGATCCCGTAATGTAAGGATTTCTATGGATTCAAATAAATTAGCGGCAAATATATGTATTCGCAACCAGAAAAATGAAACTAGGAAATGAAAAAAATCAAATTCGGTTGTCGAATTCAAATCAATTTCTCGAGGCAAATGCGCGAAAACCGTTGTTAACCGCATGAAACCCTTATCAGTAGGGACTAATGATGTAACCTTAATGTTAGCCTTAATGCTAATAATGTAGCCAGAATTTTGCCGGAAGTTTTTTGAAACTTGCCCGCAAAAGATGCTAAAAAATGCCTTTATACTGTTTTTTTTTGAAAAAAAAACATAACAAGCTGCATTAGGAATCCGAGGTAACGGTGTGTTTTAGCAGTAATATGTTACTGATGTCCTAGAAGTTAATAAATAAAACGATACATAAGGATTTCGTCATGAAGACACTTTAACTGCTTCAGTGCATGCAAAGTAGCAAAACCCTAGATCTACATTTCGCTTTTTCTGGTAGTTTTGCTTCAGTCCCCACTTGTACCGGTAAGTATTTGTGTTGGTCTTTCACA